AATGCTATCAGTTTATTTTTATTTTATTTTATTTAGTGTTCTGTCTGACGACAGGTCCATATGAACAGGATCCTTCCATCCTTTTCTCGGACTGGGACCTGTTCATATACGTTCTTGGCAGATGATCCAGAAGTGGTTTGCCATTGCCTTCTTCTGTGTGCGAATGGAGTAATTGTTGGGATGCCACGGAGAAACCGGGGATGCCCCCGGAGGAAAACTCCGTGTTACCTAGACCACGGCCTTGCCCAACACAAGTTATAAATTCGGGCACCGCCGGGAATCGAACCCGAGACCCCGAGACGAGGATTTTTATCCAGAGTTGTGGGTTCGAGGCATTGAAGTCCGTGTATTATAACCGAAGCTGTTCCACCATTCCTAGGCCCATAAACAAAATTATAAACCGCGAAAGAATGTCACATAAATGCGGAAGTAGATACGTCTAACCCCTCTAAGCCCGAAGCTCATGTCAGTAACATATTAAAATTCAGTCCGAACCGCAAAGGAAACACAGATCAAATAGGGATCAAATGATTAACGCTGTTCAAGGAAATAGTCACTGTTTATTCTGAGAATCAAACGAGCCTATAAGTACTCTCTGTGGGCAAAGTTCATGGTTACAGAATAGTAATTCAGGTGGTATATATTATTACCATTCGATTTAAATGGTTAATATACCTGTATAATTAATTTATAATTGTGTTAAGCAAGATGAATTACAACAGTAATTAGATAATGTATATTTTTTCTCCCATGGTTGCAAGCAGAAGTATCTGATGAGAAAGAATTTTACGTCATGCAATGATTAAATTATAGGTAGCCTACATTGCTTAGTGTAATTATATATTGCGCTTAGGTTAATAGTGACAGGGAACAGAAAATATTATGTTGGAAACTATGCAGTTTTGGTGTCTAATTTTTAGTCTGGTTTGAAGGTTTTAATTACGCTTTTGTGGTATTTCTGGTTCTTAAATATCCATACAAATTCTGTAATTTTTATTTAATTTCTTCAATACTTGGTTTCAATAGCGTATTAGCATAGTTAAATGGCCAAGGATTTGGATTAGCCTCTTTTATGGAACCAAACGGAGTCGGTATTTTAACCTGAAGATGGTAGCAGAGTGAGCTCTCGAAACTTAGTGGATACGATTTTAGAGTATTGAACGATGGATCGTGTCCAGATAAACAATAATACTGAATGTGGGCAGAGAATTTTGTTATAAGTTACTGTGATATTAAATTATTGTAAAAATAACGATATTTTGGCCCATTTATTGTAATAATATAACTTACGAATATTTATTTTATATTATACGGTTAGAATTAACTATATACAGGGACTGTGCTTGTCTGCTGTCCAATGCTTTTGCATCAATAGCTTATCAGTGAAGAATACGCAAATTCTTGAAGCCGCTGAATAAAACAAAGGATTTAAAACGATTCTCCTATCACAATGATCGAGTGGCAAGTCTTGATCTGTGATGATGGAGATCGATTAATTCTATGAAACGTTGGTTATTAACTCTATTCCCACGCAGCTGATCGACCGATAAGATTTCATTGCATTTTGTCGCCACGAAGGCTTCAAATATTATATTATTTTTACTATACTAGCTTTGTTTGCTAATTGCCATAAAATTAATAGACTAGATAGAGGCACATAATTACCAGATCATACGGCAAAGGGACGGTCATTTATTACCATAAGCCTATCTACTTTCATGCTGTGAAGATGTCTGGAAAGTTCATAAATTCCTTTCTTGTACTAACTTCTTAATGACACGCCATATTTTACTTCTCCCCGATACACTCTTTAATTACATAAGTTAATCTCGGCTTCCTCCAACCTCTAAAAAATAATAATTAATTTCTAATGTTCTGTACTAAAAAAGTTCCTATAACAGAATTTAACTTGCGTATTTGTCATGGGTTTTCCTTCCCAAAGCCTCAGAATTGTCTCCATTTTATATCTTTTAATTTACAGGTCGATTTTCCAAGCCTCGTTAATTCTTAACAGACTTCCTCATGGCTTGTTAATGGACCACAATCCTGTTATTTTCTTAGACCATTTCGTTTCAATTTTCGGTTTTTATTACGTTGCGCGTTTGTACTGAAATTTCTGTATATTCAGTTTTCCTAAAGTTTTTCAAAAAATATTCCTGAAGCCTAGAGTTTTTTCTTAAGGTGTCGAGATATCCCTAAATTACCCTATTGTAAATCTGTGAGCGTTTGTATGTAAGGTACCTAATTCTTTAAACATTATGGAGAAAACTCGGTATTGGTCTTTATTGGTTTAATACTGCCCCTAATTTCTTTATTTTCATGAAACTCAATTCTTATTTCATTATTTTGTAAAAATTTATAATGTACAAATTAACGCAAGAAATACGATATTTTATATCTCATTGAATTAGGCCTACGACTTATTTTAAGCTTGTTTCAGTGTCGCGAGTAATTATTATAAATTAACTCTGTGCAGTGCTATCTGCAGTGTAGACTAGTTAGCTCTCCAATACAACATTTTTATCTGCGAAAATCTAACACAGGAGCCAATGACATACTCCATAGAGCAGAGCCATTATTGAGAAATTTTCTATACAGCACGGTCAGCCAGTCATAAAATTTGCCGCCTTTCTGGAACTATAATGCCCATTACCGCTTTGACAAAAGCTCGCCACCACTTCCTATCCTGAGTCAGACAAATCCAATCCGTACCCTACAACCCTAGCTCACTAATAGGTTTTTGGAGTCGTCACTAACTCTCAGACTTCCTAACCAAAATTTTTTACGCAGTTTGGATGTCGTGATTAATTAATTAATTTAGATTAAGTTCAGCAGAACAAACACGTGTTAACAGGTGAAGGAAGAACGGGTAAGCGCAGACATTACTTATTTACTTGGTAGTACTTAGTCAAGGATCAGTAAGGATACGAATAAGAGACCTTGGTCCTGATCCTTCATAAAAATTTACGGCAGAATTCTTTTGAAAATTCTACCAAATTAGACTTGCAAACAGGTTCACATGGGCCTGTTAACTCACCAATCTTCCGTAACAAAATCGGGCATTAGAGGTTTGACACTGCTTTTACGAGAGTGTTCTTTGTTTTCGGATGTTGCGGTTTGCCTAAAATCCTTCAGACTGTTCATTAATTAGACACGTAGGCTTCTAGTTCTTGATTAGACGTTCTTCATTAAGCTGTAAGTGACAACATTAAGGAAACGTGTTACCTCAAGCCACGTAATTTTTCAGTCGAAGACTACTGAGTGACACAGAGTAACATACACGTACGCGGGCCGCGTGTTGAGAACCCCTGACATTTCCAGTCGTCATATTATAAATGTTTCAAACCGTATTCTGTGTCAGGTAGAACAATTTTTTTAGAACTCCGAAGTGTCTGACAATTTTGACACCAATTGGTAAACTAACATTTTTACGCTGATTACCATATTTTTCTTATAGTTTATATCGTGTATAATAAGACCATCTGAACTATAAAATTACATTTTATTTACACTAGAATTAAATTGTTTTGATAATTCTGAGGGCGAGCACTTGACGACATCAGAGGTTTAACAGAATCCGAAAGGGTAATCTCGGAGACAAAATATGCGAATAGTAACATCTCCCTTCTCAGCATTCATTTTAAGACATTTGTACAAAATACCCTTACAAACATTGTTTCATTCAAAATTTAGCTAGGAAATAGTTGTTTCATGGTGAGTCAACCAATACTTTTGTCAGTGGCCATGTGATCTGTGGAAACATCCCTACGTCGTGTTAAATCCTTCATCTCGTGTCATACGAAGTCTGTTTCCGTTTCCCGGTACGCGAAGTCACCAGACCCAGATCGGCTCGCGCACAGTTCCCGTGACATATTCACGTGCCCCACCTCAGAGAACGCAACTGACCCCACGAACATTCACTGCGCCAATCAGAAATTCGCAAAACACACAATTAGCGAGCCTCTTATCGATAGCAACACGAACATTTTATACTGCAGGCCTAAATTAGTCCCAGATTTTTCTACGGCAACTTAGAAGTCGTATTATCTTGAAGATATCCGTCTTCTGGGTTATTGCGCTGTGTAGTCTGGTCGATGTTAACCAACGTTTCAGAGGTCATACTGCCTCCGTCATCAGGGCGATATGACCTCTGAAACGTTGGTTAACATCGACCAGACTACACAGCGCAATAACCCAGAAGACGGATATCTTCATACTCACCGCTGTGAGAACCTCAAGTCTTACATCGTATTATCTTCATTGGTTTAGTCTAATCGTAAACCCCTCTCGTATTTTATGAGGTCTTCGTCTCGTTTCCTTTTCCGGCTTTAATAAGATGTTCTAGGTCAGGAAGAGGTTCTAAATCTGTGGTCCAGGTGCCCCTTGGGGTACGAGAGACGCTTTCCAGCGGTACCATAAATACTCATTGAAATACATTACAATACAGCGGATGACAATATTAGTGGACCTTCTTGCAAACATTCATTCAATAACGTAGCCACCAGAGCATTGGACTAATAGCTAAGTGCATAATACAACACCCGTGAAGTGAAGTGTTACTTAACATGATTTTGTAAAGAACTCACTTTTTTTTTAAAGCATATTCTTTTGATTATATGATTTAATTCCTCGTTTTTGCCACTGATGATGACCTCTTGAGGTCGAAACGCGTTTGGCACTAGTGTCATTTATAGTGTTAACAGTTTGTATGCTTATTCTTATATCTCACTAAAGTTTTAAGACAGTTGATCTTTATAATGGATCGTCTTCGTGTTGTGATTTCTTTGCGGTAGGGACTGAATTTTTTTAAGTATTATTTAGAATAGCCTCCCGAAATAACTCCCCCCCACCCACAATATCAACACCAAACTGGTCAGCATCTCTCCTTCACTCCAGTTCTCTACTTCCAAACGACGAAAATTCTATTTTATCATATGGACAAGTGAGCACTGCCTGGGACCCTGCACTCCCTCTGCCCCAGAAAGAACATGAGAACGTACCTGCGGGAAATCTGTGCGGGAATATTCTCCCGTGTCTGGAGAGCAGCCAGGGGTAAAGCGGGTAGGTGTCGCGAGGTATCGCAGCGGCCGGGTGCGGTGTTGGGTGATGTGGAGGCAAGTGTCCGGGTGCCACGGCCCCAGG